TATTGGTTGGAATGTAGATGTGGGTTTTATCAGCAGTCACATGGTTATCTTAAATTTCTGACATTATCAAAACTTTTAATGAGACATTTGAAAGCTTTTTACTGATACATTTTCAATCTGATGGCTTATCTATTGCTTCCTAAAAAAAAAGGTTTCAACCATTTTTCCAAAGAGCTAATACTTTGGATTTGTGAGAAGAAATCAGAAATTTCAAAAAAAAAAAAAGATATAAAGCAAAAACATGGCTAACTAAATGGGCGTTCTTGTGTTTTTTTCCACAGAATTTCCAAATCCAGAAAAAGATGTTGTCAGATTTCACGCAAAGCATTTTCTGCGATGCCCAGTATCATCCCGTCATGCTCAGTACAGTTGGCAGCACCTTCAAAACTCCGCATCTTGCATCGGGAAGCCAGATCATTGCCTTTATTTGATCAACAGCATGGGACCTGAGCAGGAAGGAACTCATACCTGTGTATCAGAGGAAATGGGTTACAGGAAAGTCCTGGCGCAGTACCAACTACAGCTGGGGAACAAGGTGGTTGGTTTACAGTCAAAGCCAATCATCTGGGTTTGTCTCATGGTGGTTCTGATTCAGATGTTGTGATGTTAGTTCCTCAGAGTTGTGATACTATAAAAACAATTCATTATTCTTTAATTTATTTTTATATTTTTTAACTCAAATAAAACTCTATTACTTCTAATACTATGAGCTGCAGCTCAGGATGTAGAGCGAGCCATTATTGTAGAGTTTTGATATCTGGTTTTGCAAATGTGTGGCTGTAGCTCAGGTGGCAGAGCAGATCAGCCACTAGGTTAACCAGAAGGTTGGTGGTTCGATCCCAGGCTGCTCTAGTCTGCATGCCAAATATCCTTGGGCAAGATACTAACCCCATGTTGCTCTCCGATGCATCCATCGGAGTGTGAATGTGTATGAATGTTAGATACTTAGCACTTAAGCTTAGAAGTGCTTGTGTGAATGGGTGTGATTGGGTGAATGAATTAGTTGTATGAAGCGCTTTGAGTGCTCAGAGTAGAAAAGCGTTGTATAAGAACCAGTCCATTTACCAAATGTCCTTGGACGAGATAAATTGCCACCAATGCATTCATTAGTGTGTGTGAGATAGATTAAAAAACAAACTACAGTTATTCACAGCCACACTCCAAAGCTTTTCTTTTTTTGAGGGGCTAATT